TGGTTGAAATGGCCATCCAGAGCTTGATCACTCCAGACCCCAACAAGGTCTATTTGTGGATTCGTTGCGCGAAACTACGCCTAGAAACGACGGTGGAGCATGGCAGCACCCAAATGCAGATTCGTCGCCCTTCTAAGGGCATCCAAAGTGCAGATGTGGTGCGAAACCTTCGGCATGATATGTTTTGCACGTTGCTAGTTCACTCGCTGATTCACTTTCAAGGTTTGCTGAACTGGGGGTTAGCATCGAGAATGTGTTCAACAGGGGGGATCATTCCTAGCAAGTGAGCGACAAGGGGGTGACTTCAGGGAGTGCCAATGCTGGTAGTAGCGCTATTCAAACCGCAGGAAATCATACGTCGCCACGCAACCTTTTGCTCAAGCTACAAATGCCGGGCCAGCACGAGCTTAGGGGACTTTCACCCCTCTCTTATGAGGCCTTGATAGGGACTAAAAGTCTTAGATGGAAGGGGTATTCAAACCCCTCGTTCCTCAACCTCTTGCTGACCCCACTTCCGCCAGACATTTCCCTAAGTACTGTTGGTCCATTCAGCAGCGCGGTTGGCCGACCGTTGCTACGCCTTCGTCACGAGGTCCAATTCTTATTGACACCAAAATGCTTCCCCTTTAGACCCCCAATAACAAGTACCCTTCAATCCATATCCTCAATCTAATCATACCACTGGCCGTCCCTTACGACCCCCGATTTTAAAATACCCCAGTCTATCTTACCCAAGCCTTGAGGTGTTTATCCAGAGCATGGATTTATGCTGATGGGTTTGGCATTCTTGAACCCGGAATCTCAACCTGTGAAGCCCACCACTTCTGAGTTTGATGGAGAATTTGATCGGAAGATCTTTCAGAAGAAACTGTTGGCAGACTTAGCTTTGGAAATGTTTTGGGCTCCATCATCGGACCACATTTCCACAAGCTAGAAGGGTTTTCAATTCAAAAGGCTCGCCCATCTTTGGGACTGGCTTGCATTTGAGGAAGCAAGCTTGGCAAAGGGGAAGAGGGGTGGTAGACAGGTAGGGGCCAAGCATTGGTCCCGTAGTACCCTTACGGGCTGTTGAGGCTTTGAAGCCGGGATAAAATCTCCTTTTGTTACAGTTAAACTTGATGCATCCAATTTTGTCATTTGGAGGAATCAATGGCAGAACATTCTAAGAGCAACAAATCTTCTTGAATATGTTGAAGATACAGTCTCTTGTCCTCCATCAACAGTCAGTGATGATTCAAGAAAGGTTGTTCCTAATCTTGAACGACTACAATGGAATCTTGTGGATGCACATCTGCTGAATTGTATGACTGCAACTCTTTATTCATCTATCTACTCTACTATTTTACATTGTCTTCATTGCTCTGAAGTGTGGTCTGCTTTACATAAGCAGTACACTTCCTTCTCTCGATCTCATGTCCATCAATTGAAGAATCAATTGAATAATGTGTCGAAGAAAACTGATTCAATGACTGAATATCTTACTAAGATCAGAGAAATTGTTGATCAATTAGCACTTGTTCCAGTGTTGATTGAAGATGAGGATCTAGTGTTAATCACTCTCAATGGATTACCAGCAGAATATGATGCATTTGCTACTTCTATTCGAGCTCGATTAGGTTTTGTTACTCAAGAAGAAGTTTCTTCTCATCTCCTCTGAAGAAATTCATACGGAGGCAAAACTCAAGAAGTCCTCCACTGATCCTACAGTTGCATTTGCTTCTATTAAAGGAAATTCTCAGTCTCAAGGATCTAATTCTGGTCATTTCAGAGGAAGAAATTCCTATCGAGGTAATAGAGGAGGTAGATTTCAGTTCAGAGGCCATTATAATAATACTAATCGAGGTGCTTTTAGAGGTAGAGGCCGATCTTCTTCCTCCCTTCAATGTCAGATCTGTGGTGGTTTTGGTCACCTAGCTCTTGACTGTTGGTATCACATGGACTCTCAGTTTCAATCTTCATCTGGTGCTTTCTCTCAGATTTTCAAATTGTGAGTTGAGTTGCACAATTTCAAGATGTAATTTTAAAATGTTGCGGCAAACAAAGACTAGCATGGTAAGGTGTGGCAAAGTGTTGGCAGTTGTGGGGATATATTTTCTGAGTTCCCAACACGTGGCCAAGGTGACGCCGACGTGTCAGCCGATGTGCCACGTGTCCAGGTTATGACACCGAGGTGATCTCGGCTAGGCCGAGGTTATCTCCGAAGATATCGGAATCCGAGATAAGCGGATAAGGCACAAGAGTCCTGGAATGAGGAAGGACTTCAGCATGGATAAGGATAACACTTTTGTTGAGTTTATCTCTATCTATTGAAGAGTCCAGGATAAGCACTGAGCTAAAGTCCATTGAAGCTAGGTTTCTATCGAGACAAGGATTGAGTTAGATATAAAAGAAAGGCACCCCCGATAAGTCTAAGGTACGCAATTTATACTCAGAACAGTGAGTTTAGCAATTGATTATATTTGAGAGATATACTAACTTGATCGTCGGAGTGCCCCCGGGTGGACGAACCACCGCCGGAATCTTCTCTTTCTGTTGCAGGTCAACCAGGTGTCATCTATTCTGCCAATACTCTTCAGCTGAATACTAAGTTGGCAGTGTGATCGGAAATTCACTCACACATTAGGCATGTTAGTTTTTTCAATTAAAATAGTAAAAAAGTCAAAATAGCTAATCACATCACTCGTTCTACTTTTTTACATATTTTTTAGTAAAAAATTAAAAAGTTAACTAAAATATTAAATTCTCAAACGAGTTCATGATGTCACTGTGGTCATCATTTTTTTTTTTTGGGAACAGAAAAAACAGTTATATTAAAATAAAACAAACAACATATAAAATTACAATAAAAACAATAAGATTATGGTCATCATTGAACACTAGATAAAACTTCAAACTTCATATCCAATTTCATGTGAGACTCATTTTTTCATTTGAATCATCGATGAAAATGGTACTTACTAATTTCATGTAAGATTGGAATTTTCATTTGAATCGCAGATGAAAACAGTACTCAATCTAAGATTTTAGGTACCAATCTTACAAATGTTGAATAAGTTTAGGAGATCATAAAACTTTCATTGCCAATGGAGTGAAGAAGAGACCTATTTGATTCAAAGCATCCCACTTCACTTTAAAAATGACAATGAATAGATTTAGAAATATCTTAGTTTCACCTGATTATTCCAAATATCAAAAAATTTTGGGGTGTCAAACATATGCCTTACAAAAATTGGGAGAATGGTTTTGCATGACCAGTTTAGGCCAAATTACTAAGATCATTTATAGTAATATTGATTACTAACTATTTTGTCTGCATATTCAACTATTTTGGAGTAAGGATATTTTGATTTTTCCACACTTGTATTTGTTGTCTTAATTTCTATGTACATTTATAATTGAGAAGATAGATATATTGTATATTATAATTCTCTGATCATAATGAAAATTATAGCACCTATGGATGTAACCTTAGTTTTGAGATGAATCATGTAAATTTTTGTATTCTTCATATGTGTTTGATTTATCATTTCTTATTATTATTCATGTTATGTTTTATTTTTACCGATCTTGGTAAAGTGTATCAATTTCTAATATGACCAAAAAATGTATATATATTCATTCTAAAATATGATAATAACACAATCATTGTTCAAATATTTATAAAAAATTAATTAAATCCGTTTGATAATCATGATTAATATTACTTATAAATTTAAATGGCTCTTAAAATATAAATTAAAAGTTAGCAGAATTTTAAATGAAAGAAAATTTACTTAATACTGACTTAATTAATAAATACTTGTGCATAAGTATCGATGTATACCATTATGACCTTCCACCGCTACCGCATATCACTACCACTGCTAATACTACTGCCACCGTAACTGTCACCACCATCATGTCAACACTACAGCTACCGTTACCGTAACCGCCCCTTCACCGCAACCACTACCAATACCACCACATCTATCATCGTAACTACCCTTCCACCACCATCACTACTATCACCACATCACCATTGTTATCATTTCCATAAATACCACCATCATTTCACCACCACGCACTATAAGAAATAACACCTTTGCCGACCAAAATATTGGTCGCTAAAAGCCCATTTTTAGTCGGCAAAAATTATTCGCGACCAATTTTTTTGGTCGTTACTTTGGTCGCCAATTGAGGGTCGGCAAAAATAATTCACAACCAAAATTTTTGTTGGTCGGGAAAAGTTGGATTTGCGGACTAAATTTTTAGTTGCAAAATATATCATTACTGCGACTAATCCATTTAGTCGCGAAAAGTGACATATTCCTGACCAAACATGTTAGTCGCCAATTGTCATAGTTCACGACCAAAACGTTTGGTCGCCAATTATCACATTCCATGACCAAAAAGTTTGGTTGCCAATTATCACATTCCACGACTAAAAAGTTTGGTCGCCAATTGTGATATTCTACAATCAAAAATTTTGGTTGCCAATTGTGACATTCTACGACCTCTTAGTTTGGTCGCCAATTGTCACATTCCATGACCAAAAACTTTGGTCACCAAAAGGAATGTTTGCGCCAACATGCAACAAAATAAACCTGTAATTCATAATAATCTATTCAATCCATTCAATACAATCTGTAATTTGCAATAATCAATCAAACCAACAATTCACCTGAATCATGAACATTCAACAAAATATATAAATCATCAAACTTTAAACCTGTTTAATTAAAGTCAGCAACTATTATAAGTTTTCATCCACAAGTAATTCCAAACTACATATTCCTTCAATTAAAAATTCTCTTGTAATCTATATAATCATCCAATTCACATCCATCTAGCATTAAAATTTATAACATGACAAGTACTTGTTATTATGTTATAAATTTTTATCCATGCGCATCAATAAAAAAATATAACTAGTAGTCTACCAAATATTTTCTATACACACCCATCCAAAAATATAACTAGTCTTTCCAAAAATATAACTACTAGTCTACCAGAATATTTTCCATACACATCTATCCAAAAATATTTTCCCTAATCCTTCCAAAAATACTTATAGTGCCAATTAGTCCTGTACAATTCAGCTTCGTGCACGAGTTCATCTATCTGTACCAAAGAAAAAGAGAAATTATGTTAGGTAATTTTTTTATGAAAATATTTGCATATCACATTATTGGACAAAAAATTAAACATGTCTATGGAAAGTAAAGGTAACATGAACAAATTAATTGACTATCATTACCATTTTGTAAATAAAACAACATCACTCATATGTATATATCCAATAAACATTAAAATTCTAACTATTGGTCCACAATTTGCCAATATTGACCTGTGCTTCAACAATGGAAACTAAGTTAAAATTTGGAGTTATCTGTTTTCATAATTTAGTTGTAGTTTTATATCCTTTATACTACTATATTTGGTCCAACGATTTTTCCCCCCCTTGTTTGAACAATGCAGCTCTTTTTGCTTTCATTGAGATTTATTGAAGAATCAGTGAAAATGAATTTACTTAGTAGATTCTTTTTTACTACAGGTTTGAAGAGAGAATATTTTGTACTCCTTTCTTGCATATGGAGGGCCTTCATATGCATTGCTGGGTTCTTGGAGCTGTAACAACGAGGCTTTTTAATTCTGGATTCAAAATTCTTTGGTTGAACTTTTACTTGTTGGAGGGTAAGTCTGGGAGGGCAGTGGAAGATATGAGGTTGGGATTATCACATAATTTTGTCTAAATATGTAACGGTGCGTCGTATCAACTTTCCGGTTGCTCTCACAAGTTTGTTTAATCTAGGACGAAGTGACCGTTATGATATCGGGGTTGTTTCGAGGCTGTTTCCAATTTTTGGCCCCAAACAGCCCATTTTTGCCTTTTTTCATCACATTTTTTTGTCTAAATATCTAACCGTGCATCCTATCGACGCGCCGCTTGCTCTCACAAATTTCTTTAATCTAGATCGAGCTGACCCTTATGATCTCAGGATTGCTTTGAGGCTATTTCCAATTTTTGCGCCAAACGGCCCATTTTCGCCTATATTTTTGTCCTATCGCCGTTTTCGCCTATATGAGATGTCATGTGCCAGGCACAAGACATCTCATATACTGCAAAATGTTTAAAATGACCTTATTCTTCTCTCCTCTTCTCTCTTTCACCTTTTCTCTTTTCTTCTAGCCATGTCAGCAACTATGGGTGCTACCATGGGTAGAAGACAATTAGGAAAAAAGTAAATAAGGTTATTGTAAGCATTTCACAATGTTTGAAATGTCTATCAATTTTTCCTTTTTATTTAAGTAATGAATCTTTAACAAAAGGTTCACAATGATCCAAATTGATAGTTTAATGCAACAAAGTGTAATGTTTTTTAGTTGAGGGGGTACAGTGAGATACTAAGTAATAGGTCAAGAGGGAAAAGTGTAGTTTTTCCTATAATTAACCAGAAGAGTGCTAAACTGTAGTGTGGAGTGCTAAACTGTAGTGCGGAGTGCTAATTAACCAGAAAAATGTAGTTTTTTAGTTTTTCCTGTAACTGCTGTAGTGCGGAGTGCTAAATTGTTGTGGTGTCTGTCTTGCTATTCTTGGTTTGGGTTGGTATTGGTGTAGATGGGCTATTGATAAAAGGAGTAATTAATGGAGTATAATCAAATGGAGTATAATCAACAACCAAATGGAGTATAATAAAAAACCCAAGAAGTACATAGAGAGAGGATAGTAACTAATGCTTCGATTTTCCCATAATCCAAACCGACAACAAAATTAAGAATTCAATTAACTAATGCTATCTACTTGTACTACGCTAAGTTGAGTAAAACGTTTTACATTCCCAATTCAAGTAATGCGAAATATAATAAATTCAAAATTTTCCTTCTCTTTACTGGATTTTCTAGGAAACCAAATGGAGTATAATCAACAGCCCAAAAAAGTAACTAATGCTTTGATTTTCCCATAATCCAAACAGACAACAAAATTAAGAATTCAATTAACTAATGCTATCTACTTGTACTACGCTAAGTTGAGTAAAACGTTTTACATTCCCAATTCAAGTGATGCGAAACCTAATAAATTCAAAATTTTCCTTCTCTTTACTAGATTTTCTAGGAAATCAAATGGAGTATAATGAACAACCCAAAAAGCAGATAGAGTTAAGAATCAAATTAAAAAATTCTGTTTACTTCTACGTGGCTGCTAAGTTGAGCAGAAACTTTAAAAATCCCAATCCAAGTAATGAGAAGCGCAATAAATTCAAAATTCTTCATTTGAATTTTGATGTTTCTACTCAACTAATACATTCAACTTGGCCACTGGTTACAATTGAAAAAGGTATTTGTTTAAAAGCTTAAAGAATTGATAGAAGTGTCTCACATGTAAAATAGTTCCAGACTTACATCCATGTAGAGGCAGTGCAATGGCAGAAGGCTTTAGTGCATCAACATAATCAGTAGGTTGATGGTAGCTTCACCGAGGATGGCAGATTGTGAAGAACCTTGATGCCAATTCAATTTAAGAAATCATAAAGTTAATCACTATGGGATAATGTGCGTAATAAGTGCAGAAAAATACAAGAGGCATCAGTGTATCAATTACAGATAACTAGTAGTACAGAAAAATATATTTATAAACATAAGAATCAAAGTGAAGAATTAGTGAAGAATAAAAATCAATTTGAACTCTTTACTACTTCCACATTATATAGCATATTGGACAAGTTTGTTCATTCCTATCGGGAAGAGTCAAGACAAAAGATGGTTACATTGCTTTCTTCCATTAGAATCCCCTTAGCCTTCTCGCATAACACCCTAACCTACAACAGAGAGAGAGTATGTCAATGGAGAATCCTTTTCCATTACACTAAAACAGAAAGGTATCCATTAAAAGGCGAATACTATAGCATAATAATAACAACAGTTCCATAACATGGATAAGGCAAAGTACAATATATAGATGTCCTGGGTAAGAGTGAAATCTAGGACCTCGGCTTAAATGTGAGCTACATATATAAAGGTTCCTTTTATAATAAATGGTTATTCATTCATCATAACAGAAGAATACTCGAGCTATCATGGTTCTTCATTCCCTATTTTTCAAAACAAAATAAAAATGAGAAAAAGAAAGGCCCCAAGACTTAAATGGTGACAAGTAGTGAATTCTACCACAAAAGCCTAACGTGCTTGTGCAATATGTGTATAATTTTATTAGCCATGTTTAGGCAATAATGCCCATGATTATGAATACTTACTTATACCACATGTGAGCAAAGCCATCCTCAAAACTCAAACATCGCTGGCCTACTCCAATTGGCTTTGAGTAGAATGAGGATTTTGTTTTAGAAAAGGAGAAAAGGACATTAATATATATCTTATACAAATGTATGTTATCTATGTCAAGATCATGGAATCAAGGATAGCATGGAGCCGTTTTTCGTTTTTCATTCATGTTGTGCAGTATTGGGAGCTAGATGCTGTGGATGCATTTTTGTGTTCTTTGTAGGGTAGAGATATAGGTTGTGGAAAGCTAATGGTGGAAGATTCTCATTTAAATCTTTTCACTTTATTAGCAAAGGAGCAGCATGTAGGTCTTTTTCTTGAAAAACATTTGGAAGGTGGGGGTTGCAACAATGGTGGCTTTCTTTGTAGACTCCATTCTCACTATTGATAATTCCATTCCATGTAAATGACCGAGTACGTTATAATCTTAATGTTCAAGCTATGCATAAAAACTGTCTGGATGTGTCAAAGGAATGTCATGTCTCTATTGTTTTCTAAATGAAAAAAAGCTCCCTTCTAGAAGTGATTGTGCTGCTTCGTTTTTAGCCATTCCATTCTCCTATAGTCCTATTATTTATTTTCCATCATTTTTGTAGATTTTCAAGATTTTACTGACATTGTGCCATATTCATAAACTAGAATTACCAGGTTTCACCAAAGCAAGTTTCAAATCAGTTCTCAAATATGTGAAATATATCAGTCCCATGCTTTACTTGCACTTGGTAACATGAAAAAGAAAAGAGAGAAACAGTATTGAGCACTTAATATATTCCGAGTCCTAGTTGTAATCTTTGATAAGATACATAGCAGCAGCTCTAACATCAGGTGTAGATCCTCATCCATGCAGGTGCAGTCACCGAATCAGCTCCAGCTAGTTAGTTAGGAATCTGTTAAAGTGTTTGTTAGTATGCACGTGTAACAGATTAGATTAGTTATGGATTAGTTGTAATCATCTGATATGTATATAACCATTATGTACTCATCAAGATTGATATTGAATAATGAATTGAATATTTCATCATGGTATCAGAGCATTGAGCTCTTACGAGCACAGAGATCCATGGCCTCTCCTTCCACCATTACATCTTCTATTCCTTCAAACCTTTCTCTGCTTATCTCCAATCTATCTTCTTTTGTTACAGTTAAACTTGATGCATCCAATTTTGTCATTTGGAGGAATCAATGGCAGAACATTCTAAGAGCAACAAATCTTCTTGAATATGTTGAAGATACAGTCTCTTGTCCTCCATTAACAGTCAGTGATGATTCAAGAAAGGTTGTTCCTAATCTTGAACGACTACAATGGAATCTTGTGGATGCACATCTGCTGAGTTGTATGACTGCAACTCTTTATTCATCTATCTACTCTACTATTTTACATTGTCTTCATTGCTCTGAAGTGTGGTCTGCTTTACATAAGCAGTACACTTCCTTCTCTCGATCTCATGTCCATCAATTGAAGAATCAATTGAATAATGTGTCGAAGAAAACTGATTCAATGACTGAATATCTTACTAAGATCAGAGAAATTGTTGATCAATTAGCACTTGTTCCAGTGTTGATTGAAGATGAGGATCTAGTGTTAATTACTCTCAATGGATTACCAGCAGAATATGATGCATTTGCTACTTCTATTCGAGCTCGATTAGGTTTTGTTACTCAGGAAGAAGTTTATTCTCTTCTCCTCTCCGAAGAAATTCATATGGAGGCAAAACTCAAGAAGTCCTCCACTGATCCTACAGTTGAATTTGCTTCTTTTAAAAGAAATTCTCAGTCTCGAGGATCTAATTCTGGTCATTTCAGAGGAAGAAATTCCTATCGAGGTAATAGAGGAGGTAGATTTCAGTTCAGAGGCCATTATAATAATACTAATCGAGGTGCTTTTAGAGGTAGAGGCCGATCTTCTTCCTCCCTTCAATGTCAGATCTGTGGTGGTTTTGGTCACCTAGCTCTTGACTGTTGGTATCACATGGACTCTCAGTTTCAATCTTCATCTGGTGCTTTCTCTCAGTCTCCTCAACACTCCAAAGCATTTGTGGCATCTTCTGCCTCTGGTTCATCTTCATCAACAGTGCCCTGGTATCTTGACTCTGCAGCTACAGATCATATCACCAATGACATAGGTAATTTGAGTTGCTATCAACCATATCAAGGAACTGATCAAATCACTATTGGCAATGGTAATTCCATACCAATTCAACACATTGGTACGGGCATATTACCTACTTCTCATCATTCTTTCAAATTACAAAATCTTCTTCATACTCCATTCATTTTTTCCAATCTACTCTCTGTTCACAAGTTAGCAAGAGATAACAATTGTTTCATAACATTTGATGATGCTAATTTTGTTATCCAGGACAAGCATTCGAAGAGAGTGCTTCACAAAGGAACTAATGTCCATGGACTTTACCACTTTCTTCCATCTTCATCTGCTAAAGTTTCTCCACTATCACAAGTACATCTTAGTGCTAAGATTGATGCTTCTTCAACATCTGTTTCTGCAGACATTTGGCATAATAGGCTTGGTCATCCAAGTCTCTTAAAGTTTTCTCATCTTAAGAAACATTTGCCTTTTGTTTCTAATAAATCCCTATCTCAAACTTGTATTGATTGTTGTGTTGCTAAAAGCCACCGGCTTCTTTTTCACTTGTCTAACTCTACTAGCAATCAACCACTTTCTTTAATTCATAATGATGTATAGGGTCCTTTTCAGTCTACGTCTCCTTACAAGTATTATGTTTTGTTTGTGGATGATTTTACTAAATTCACTTGGCTTTATCCTTTGTCATATAAAAGTGAAGTTTGTACCAAATTCATTGAGTTTAAAGCTTATGTGGAAAAACAGTTTCAAACTTCTTTAAAAGTACTCAAAACAGATGGTGGTACTGAGTTTTTTAATAATAAAATGACTCATTATTGTTCATCAGCATTCTTGTCCTTACACACCCTCTCAAAATGGTGTTGCAGAAAGAAAGCACAGGCACATAGTTGAAACAACTATTGCTTTATCGCATCACAGTTCTGTTCCTATCAAGTATTGGTTTGATGCTGTTGCTGTGGCTACTTTTTTGATCAATAGACTGCCTTCTTCTCAATTAGCTAATAAGTCTCCACATGAATTACTGTTCAAATCTGTTCCTAATTACTCTTAGCTAAGAGTTTTTGGTTGTCAGTGTTTTCCTTGGCTAAAGCCTTATGTTACTCATAAACTTCAACCAAGATCTGTCTCTTGTGTGTTTTTAGGCTATCATCCATTTGCCAAAGGGTATAGGTGTTTAGATCCTCTAACAGGTTGGGTATATCTATCTAGGCATGTTCATTTTAATGAAACTTGTTTTCCATTTCACACTCTTTCTCCAGGCATCCAGTGTCCCTTTCTTCTACTACTCTCTCTCTTTTTTACACTCATTTTTTTCTGGTCTTCTCCTACTCTTATTGTCTAGACCATTTGCTCTTACCTCTCTGCAGCATGCTGTTTCTACACAGTCAAGTCGCACCTGTGCCACATCCAGTTCTCCTGTTCCTCCTTCTGTCAGCAGTCTAGTTTAACAGCTCAGCCACCAACCCAGTTCTGTTGTTCCAAGCTCTGTCCAGCAGTCCAGCTTAGCAGTCAGCAACCAGTTGTCACGACCCAAACCTGTCCCTATGGGTTTAGCACCGTATCCGGCCAGTAATCCGAGATTACGAGGCCTGCTTAACAGTAAGACAGTAAAATAGAGTATCAGGGCCTGGCGGAATGCAATACAGTAAATAAACAATGTCCAATGAGCTGTGACAGTCTGTATGTAAAAAGACTTTTCATACATATATACACAAACAGTACAGAACAGTATGCACAATATATACAATCATTCAAAATAGGGACTTAATCCCTATATATAACAGTACAGTAAACATTCAGTCTATACAATTCACTCGGTTATTACAAAATAGCAAGACAGTACAGAAGGGGGGAGTCCTAAAACACCCCTAAGCCTTAGCATGATAGGCTTGGAACCTCGCAGTGAGGCACGGTAGTTGGCTGGACAAAACTGAAGTAACCCTGACGCTCCTAGCCGCGGTCTGGTGCTTGTACACCTACATATACATATGAGCAGTGAACTAAAGCCCAGTGAATAACATAATGCGTAAAGGGGTTTAGAATGAATGTCCTTACAGTAATGAAAACA